GCAACATTCACAAACTTCAAAAGGCATCATCTATTTTAATCATTGCTGTTTAAATGCTCCAAACCGACTCTTGTGTTAAGGGGGTAAGCAGAGAGGGGTGGTTCCTTGTGTTTTTTAGATTCATTCAATCTGGTCATCATATCAATCCTTTAACTGTCTGCAGGTTGATGTGACATTACAAGATGGACGGACTTTTGAAGGAATAGTTGAAAATGCTGATTTACATTCTGATATTGCAATTGTAAAGATAAAATCGAAAACTCCACTTCCATGTGCAAAGTTTGGCAGTTCAACTAAGCTTCGTCCTGGAGATTGGGTGATAGCCATGGGTTGCCCCCTTTCCCTACAAAATACAATTACAGCAGGCATTGTTAGGTACGCTTGGTAGAATTTTGAAGGATATTTTTCATATACAACCTTCTCATATCTACAAGGTGTTTGCCACTCTGTATTTTCTGCACTGCAACTTAAATTAATAATGTGTTTATTTGCACGAGATTCTTCTTTGTCTCATAATTTAATCACATATAACTTTGGCAATGAGACCATATCAACACATTCAACAATGAGTTTGTTGTCATGGTATACATTTACACATCATGACATTCTTTCTTTTCTCGATTTCAATGCAGTTGTGTAGAGCGTAAAAGTAGTGACTTAGGGTTGGGTGGTATGAGGAGAGAGTATTTACAGACCGACTGTGCTATAAATGCGGTAACAATAGTTATATCCATCTTTTTTTTGAGGATAACATTGTAGATATTAGCAGAACATAAAATCAGCTAATGTAATCTTATCACGTGCAGGGTAATTCCGGGGGACCTCTTGTAAATGTTGACGGAGAAGTTGTGGGTGTTAATTTTATGAAAGTGTTGTCAGCTGATGGTTTGGGATTTTCTGTGCCAATTGATTCAGTTTCCAAGATTATTGAGCACTTCAGAAAAAATGGGTATAAAATATGCCCGTAACATTGTGTTCTCCCAGCTTCCTTGCTGCATTCCAGTACTTTTCGAATCGGTTTTATCATTTCTTGAGCATAGCAAACTGTTTTTCACCAGGAATTATCAAATTAAACATGGCCCACCCTATTATCCGCGACTTCATTAGTTTATACCTATTGCTGCATTTGTGATAATAACAACCGCTCTATGGATGTTGTTGATATTTCAGGAGAGTTGTTAGGCCTTGGTTGGGGTTAAAAATGCTTGATCTCAATGATATGATTGTTGCACAGCTCAAGGAAAAAGATTCTAGATTCCCTAATGTCAAAAAAGGCGTCCTTGTACCCATGGTATTAAAACTCTTCTTTTTTAACGTTCTATGTGTCTTCTTGGTTTGCTCAATCAGGTTCCCACATTGCTTCCGAGCCCGAATCAACATTATGCATTTTGTATTTACACATATAATATGATTAGATATATCCTGATAAAGGGTCATCGTTCTATAGGTGACTCCAGGTTCACCAGCCGATGTTGCAGGGTTTCATCCAGGCGATGTCGTTACAGAATTTGATGGAAAGTCTGTTGGGACCATTAAGGAGGTATGCACATCAGTTTAATGTTTCTTCTAATCTGATTCTAATAAAACATCATTATTTATGGGTACTTTTGAAGTCATGGAAAAACTAGTGTGTTGTTTTAATACCGAGATAAGATCTTTTTTACTTTATTTTAAACAACAAAACATTTTGCAATTTTTTTTCCCAGAAAAAGTAATGAGTTTATCAGTATTCTTCAAAAAAAGAAAAAGAGAGGCTATCAGTACTCATTACTCCATATTTCTTGAATATTTTTGATATTTTTTTGTTTCCAGTCATTCCACAGCAGTTTTGTTCCCTCAAATCTTTATCTGAGACTTCAAAATGCGGAGATTTCGATGAAAAATTCAAAAAAAAAATATTTGGATATTATTATCATTGATGTGCCCCCTATAGAGAGATTGACGCTTTCCCATACCAACCATGAATTTTGTTGCAGATTATTGAGATAATGGACGATAGGGTTGGACATCCATTGACAGCAGTTGTGAAGAGAAGTAATGGTATTTCTGTAACATTAACTGTTGTTCCAGAGGAAGCAAATCCAAACATGTGAGCTTTTCCCCCCTTCAATTCCCCATGGGATCAGCCCCATGTTTGTTTTTGGAGAGACTTGATTCTTAGAGACTTCTCAACTCCTTGTAGTTTGTTGTGAGATGAACCATCCCTCCGTAATTTAAGTTGCCCGTTGCTGTTTACGCTATTTAACAAAATTTGTTTTCGCTTCAATTTTAAAAAAAGTAAAATTTATATATTTAAACATTACATAAAAGAATCTATAAAATAAGAAATTGACATGAGCGTATTATTTTACCAAATGAGTAACAAAAATAGGTTAAGAGAGTGAATAAATTTTAATCATGTGAATGGTGAAAAAGATAAATTAAAATAAGATTTTTTTTTTGTTGCACGGCCAACCGAAAACACTAATTCATTAATGCATTAGAGGAGAGATAGCCAGTGGACAGGACCCCAACCAGACTTTGTCATCACTATCAATCATATATCTAGCTAGATGATGAGCGGAAAAGTTACCTTTGCGTCTAACAAGGGACCAACTAACAGAGGCAAAATTTTCCATCAAACTCAAAATGTCATTAATAATTAAGCTAAGAACACTGTAGTCCACAGTGGAGTGACAACTTAACATAAGATGGATGGAGTATATAAATATTTGGTGTGATGGGAATATTGAAATCGGTCAAAAGTGTATTTGTTTATTAGGTCTAAACACACAAATTTAATAATAATCTGATAAATCCAAGACCAAATGGAGCATTTTTTCATATATACTCAGACCGTGCGTAGTGGACGGTTATATGCTTTATTTTATTAAATTTATTTTACAACTCTATTTATAAACCATCCAAAACACATGCGAACTCGTACAAATTCATGAATCCCTGTTACCAATTTATAAAAACCCACCTTATCCACCATTCTCTTCTCACTTTTTCTTCTTGATCATCAAAATTGTGCGACCTTCAGATGATGTGTATGAGGCGGTTTGAAATGTTGTTCAACTTGCGGGGAAGTATACAAAATTGTGAATCCTCCACGCCGACCTTTAGAAGAACACCAATTGAATGCGACGTTGTTGCTGCCAACAAGCGTTAATGAGTGATTATGTTGTTGAAAAGCCAGTATACAACGGTCCAGTATACAACGATCCTAAAACATTTAGGCGTTGGTTCAGAGCGAGTAAGTGTATTTTTACGTATAGCTCACGAATGGGAACACCGTTATATTTACTTGCTTTCAACAAAGATGTGACGGAAGAGGAAAGCTAAGATCATGACTATACTAAATAAAGAAGGCTGAGTCTACAAAATAAAGAAGGCTGAGTTGCCTCTGCCTCACAGCCCTCGATTTTAAGTTGTAACATCGAGTCAATTTTTTTTAATTAAAAATGATTTACTTTGTTAAATAAAAGAACATTAGTTTGGCAAATAAAAAACATTACTTTATTATTGCTTCATCGATTTAGTGTTGTTACATTTTTTTAATGCTTATACATTTTGAGTTAGTGCTGTTGCATATTTTGTTATGCTTATAAATTTTATTTTTTAAAAACCGGAAAAACCGAAATAAAAACCACATAAATTGAAACTGAACAACCAATGATTTACATTTTTTTGCGCGAAACCGAATTACTAACTTAGCTTTTGTTGTCTTTGGTTTTGGGTGAAAACCAAATCGCCAAAACCCAACTTACCCCTATTTCATGAGATATCGAAATATCTCTGTTTGGTAGGGTTGTGACATCAGAGGTATCGAATCGAAACCCTATTTAGGCATCTCCAAAAGCCTACAAAAGGGTTTTGATATAAGAAGCTATGAGAACCTCTATCTCACATTTTTGATGAAAGAACTTTCATTACTGTCACGATTAATTTAGAAAATGTAACTTAAGTATTACCCTTCCATCTCATAACAAGGTTTTACATTTCAATTTTTCATTCGTCTAAAAAAAGTTCTACTCCTTTTTATTCATGGAAAACATTTCTACGACTCTTACTTCATACTCTCTCCGTCCGGAAATATTTTTCTCATTTTCCTTTTTAGTCCGTCCAGAAATATTCTTCCCATTTCCTTTTTTAGTATGCTTTTTAAGGTTAAATATCAATTATACCTTTCTATTTTATCACAAATCTACTTTTTTAATACTTTTTTAATAATAAAAGGAGATTTAAAAGTTTATGGTAAGTGCATTTTTGAAAATTTTGCATTTTTTTACTATTCCTTAATAAGCGTGCCAAGTCAACACGGGAAGAACATTTACGGACGGAGGGAATCATTCTCTTATTAACAAAATTTTCGAAGACATAATTTTACTTTTTCTTAATAATTGTGTCAATTCTATTGCTGAACTTTTTGGTCTCAAATTATAACACGAATAACTTCCGTTTGAAAAATTACTGCTTAGCCTCCTCCTCTTGTGTTCGTCGATTGGTAACAATTGAATAATCTTAGCTGTTAACTTTAGTTAAAATTAAAGTAAATTCCATAATTGGTCCTTTATAACATGTGGTTTTCATATTTAGTCCTCTATTATCTAATATTACCCCCATAGTCTTTTTTTAAGGGTACCTTTCCACAAATGGTCCTTTTTTTGATTTTCTGGCATGTTGATATTAATTTAAAGGCTAAAAGTATAATTTGACATCAACATTATGTTTAGTGACATGTTCTGATATTGGTTAAGCGGATAACACAAAAATAATGACTATGATTGTGGGCTAGGATTCCGACGAAAGACCACATTTGTAGACTATGGTTGTAGTAGAAAGCGACTGTAATTCACAAACGATAGAAACTGAATAGCCTTTGGAATTGTGTATGACACAAAAAATATATTATCATTGCGAAATTACACTTTTAGCCCTCAAATTAACACTAACATGATAGAAGATCAAGAAAAGAACTATTTGTGAAAAGATACTCATAACCACGTAACCTCGTTATAAAATAAAGGACCAAGACCAATTTACTCAATACTTCATCGGTATACCATCCAGTTCTCAGATTCCTCGCGTGCCATCTTTCGGAGTTGCAGTGGTGCATGAAAGCCATATGGAAGCTTTTCGGAGCATGTAACACTCAGAAATCAATAACACGACTGCATTGCCATTTGATCAAAACCGGATCAATTCAAGACGTTGATTTCGCCTCAACTCTCACCGATGCTTATATCACGTCTGGACTTCACGACAGCGCCCTTCAACTGTTCGACGAAATTCCCAGCAGGAGGAGTTGCATCCTTCAGCGTTATTGCAGAGAAAAACGATACGAAGATGCCCTGTCTATCTTTCCCTGGTCCTTTTACTGTCAAAAGACTGATTCTTTCACCGTGTGTAGTGGACTGAAAGCGTGCTCTGAACTAAGGGCGATTGGCCCGGGGAAAGCGATTCATTCCTTTATCAAGAAACTCGGCGTGCTTGATTCAAACTTGTTTATTGGGGCCAGGCTGGTTGAATTGTACTCAAAGTGTGGAGAAACGGGAGACGCTCTGCGAGTTTTTGAGGAATTCCACAACCCAGACATTGTCTTGTGGACTTCGCTGATCTCCGGTTATGAGCAGAATGGCGATCCGAAGAGGTCGCTGAGTGTTTTTTCTGAGTTAATAAGGTGTAAGGGTGTTGGCCCCGATGATGTAACCCTTGTTACTGTTGTTTCAGCTTGTACGCGATTGTTGAATGCGAATGCTGGAAGAAGCATCCATGGGTTTACCGTTAGGAGGGGCTTTTATATTTCCCTACCTTTGGTGAATTCTTTTTTGAATTTATATGCCAAGACAGGTGTTGTTATTGCTGCAGCAAATTTATTCAGAATGACTGAACGGAAAGATGTGATATCATGGGCGTCTATGATCATATGCTATGCTCATAATGGGGCTCCTAACAAGGCACTGGATCTTTTCAATGAGATGATGCATATGGGTGTTGAGCCTAACTCTGTTAGCTGCATCACTGCTTTGCAAGCGTGCGAAGCTACTGGAAATCTAGTAAAGGGTAGAAAGATCCACAAACTTGCAGTCCAGAAAGGGTTTGTGTCGTCCGATATCTTTGTGCCCACAGCGTTGATTGACATGTACATGAACTGCAGCTGCCCAAGTGAAGCATTAATGGTTTTTGAGAACATGCCTAAGAAAGATGCTGTTTCTTGGTGTGCCGTGTTACATGGGTGTGTTCGAAACGGAATGGCATGTGCTTCGCTTGCAATTTTTCGTGACATGAGGACTCTCGGTGGCATCCAGCCTGAAGCCAATGCTATGGCTGGTGTTCTGGCAGCCTGTTCAGATACGGGGATTCTCCAACAAGCCCTATGTCTTCATGGTTGTATAATCAAAAGCGGGTTTGAGAATGATCGTTTCGTTGGGGCATCACTTATAGAGTGTTATGCAAAATGTGGTAGCTTAAGTGATGCCATCAACATTTTTGAGGAAATGAAGGTAGAAGACAAAGACATTGTCATTTGGAGTTCCATGCTTGCGGCATATGGGATTCATGGAAAAGTGAATGAGTCTATCGGTATATTCTCTCAAATGATCAGAAGTTCAGCCACAATTAGGCCCACTGCTGTCACCTTTCTCTCAATTTTAGGTGTCTGTAGTCACACCGGTCTGGTTAAGGAGGGCATCGAATTCTTCAAAGCGATGGTGCATGACTATGCACTGATTCCAGAGTGGAAGCATTATTCCATACTGGTTGATCTTCTGGGACGTACGGGGGAATTGGATGAGTCCATCATCAGCATCATTGATGGAATGATAGATCAAGGTTTAAGAGCAGATGCCGCGTGGGGAGCTTTGCTTGCTGCCTCTAGGACATATCAAAATGCAGAGTTGGGACGAATTGCAACGAGGAATCTTTTCCGGTTGGATCCTGATAATGCAGGATATTACCTTCTGTTATCAAACATCTATGCAGCAGATGGAGACTGGGATGGTGCTAATGAACTGAGAAATTCAATGAAAGAGAGAGGGATGAAAAAGATGCCTGCTGTAAGTTTTGTATTGCTAAATAATTGAGGCCATCTACCCATATGTGGTAACTTCCTTGAAATGACAAAGTCACAAAGTGCCTATCACAGAAGACAAGGAGTATGTGGTGAAAGTTGAAAATGGCGTTTCTAGAAAGTGACATGGAATAACATGCCATGACTATAAACTGTGCAAAAGGAAACTCACTCTCATGTAAAGTGCCACATTTACATGGTTGAAGTGGAATAACTAACCATGATACACCTCCATGATACACCTTATGGCATGTGAGATCAATTACCCAGCATTATTTCCTTTCTGATTAAGTTTAACTTCTACATCTGCAATAATTTTGATTTCGAATGTTGTATATATCTGTTTGGACTTCATGACAGTGCCCTTCAACTGTTCGGAGAAATTCCCAGCAGGAGGACGAGCTGCATCCTTCAGCGTTATTGTAGAGAAAAACGATACGAAGATGCGTTGTCTATCTTTCCCTGTTCCTTTTATTGTCAAAAGACTCATTCTTTCACCGTGTGTAGTGGATTGAAAGAAACTTAACAACAACAACAACAACAACCCAGTTAAATCCCACAAGAGTAGGGTCTGGGGAGGGTGTGTGTACGCAGACCTTGCCCCTACTCGAAAGTAGAGAGGCTGTTTCCAAAGAGACCCCCGGCTCAACGTCGAAAGTTGCATTGCTTGACTAACTGCTACTTCATTAATTAAAGAAGCGCAAATAGTTTAGATATCCATTTTGATTTATTCCATCACACCCCAAAGCCAAAAATAGGTGAGATTTTGGCTCCATCGGAGATGATGGAAAAGATTGAAAGAAACTTAACAACAACAACAACAACAACCCAGTTAAATCCCACAAGAGTAGGGTCTGGGGAGGGTGTGTGTACGCAGACCTTGCCCCTACTCGAAAGTAGAGAGGCTGTTTCCAAAGAGACCCCCGGCTCAACGTCGAAAGTTGCATTGCTTGACTAACTGCTACTTCATTAATTAAAGAAGCGCAAATAGTTTAGATATCCATTTTGATTTATTCCATCACACCCCAAAGCCAAAAATAGGTGAGATTTTGGCTCCATCGGAGATGATGGAAAAGATTGAAAGAAACTTGGTGTGCTTAATTCAAACCTGTTTATTGGGAGATGCTCTGCGAGTTTTTGAGGAATTCCACAACCCAGGCATTGTCTTGTCCACAGAAAGGAAGAGTGATGAAAAAGATACCTGCTGGAAGTGTTGTGTTGTTGAATAATAATCGAGGCTATCTTCCTTCTCCTGTATGAATAGCTCCAAATGGTAGCTATTGTAGTGTAGTGTTTGAGCTGCAGCAGATTATTTTTCCAAAAATATCCTCCTACACTTTTTAATAATAATAATAATAAACTTTATTTTTCTTTCCTAAATGTATATCCCCTACCTGTGGTGGCTTACAAGAAATGACAAAGTCACAAAGTGCCTTTCACGGATGACACGGAATATGCGGTGTCTTGTAAAGATGAAAATGGCATATCTTCTACAAAGAGACCAAGAATAAAATGATATGATTATATATAAACTGTACCAAACAAAACTCACTATCATGTTAAAATTAAAGTCACATTTACATTGTAGTGTAGTATCTTTTTGTTGAAGTTTAACAGATTCTGAAGTGAGATCAAATATTATTTCCCTTCAGAATCTGTTAAACTTTAACAAAAAGATACTACACAACTTCGAGATTCTAGTATCTACACCTTCAAAACTTCTATAGTATCTGTTTTATTTTACAGGGAAAAATTGCAGATTGTGGCAAGAAATTGATTACGTGAGCCTTTATTGGAGCTATATTAGCAATATCTTCTTCGCTAGCATACCACACATCTTGGGATTACGGTTCAAGTAATTCTAAAACCCTTCATTCCAATCACATTGATTTTTACCTCTTTTCGTGTCTGTTAACAAGATATCATATTAAACACTTTTTTTTTGTAGATTGGTCGGGTCTATTACTCTTTTCTTGTGTGTATTTGGCTTTAGGCGGGTGGTTCACAGGTATAAGTATAACCTTTGTCACTTCTTGGTATTATCTTTGAACTGGCTAGTTTCTATTTGGAAGGTTGTACTTTCTTAACTACTGCAGTGTCTACTTCTACGAATACTTTTAACTCGTTTTTTATCATCTTTCGTCGTGGTTGCCAAGAGTTGAACCAGACATTACCCTCTTTTGCATCATCTATTGACTAGCTGAGCTACGCCCCCAAGCGTATTGAATCAAATGGGAATACCATCTTACGAGAGAACTATAAATATTTTACACCATTAGATGCAACAGTTAATGTTAGATTTCTGGCTAAATTAGTACTGCAATAATGAGGGCTTTTTAGTGAAATCGTTACTCTTATCCAGTATAGCCGAGATTCTTGGTTCTGTTTTTGAGAGTGTTAATTTTTGGCTAATGTAATAGTGTGGAAACTGTGTTTGAGCTTTACGTAGAGTAAACAGAAACTCTATGAGCTACAGAAAGTACAGAAACAGATGTTGCAGGAAGATAAGAAAACAAACATGCACATCTTTTTGGGACGGAGAGAGGACTTCATAATCTGGTTTTCAAATTAAAAATCTATTTTAACTGAGCATAGTGTTTATGAAAAGTATTAAAAAGTAAAAAAAATAAATTGTTGAAATTGATTTCAAAGAGAGAGTAATACTGATGATCACATTTTAATGAGTAAATTCCCAAAATAGTCCTTTGTAATAAGGTGTTTTCCCAAATCAGTCCTCAATAAGCTTTAATTACCTACGTAGTCCTCTATAATTGAGATTTATTCCCAAGATGGTCATTCGTAAATAATGTTACTTAAATGAGGATTAATTGAGGGTATTTTGATATTTTTTAATTGCTAAATTTAGAATTAATTCTTAAAATGATCATTTATAAAGAAGTGCTTTCCCAAAATAAATTTTTCTAACTAAAGATGTGTATTTGATTTGAAATTTAAAAGAATTTTTTATAAGTTTTAAATAATTCATGAATTTTTTATAGTCAATGTATTTTTTCAATTTTACATTTAGTTATACAGAATTAACTGTTTTGAAAATATACTTTAAATTTAAATGATCAAAATACCAAAATATCTCCCAATTAATCATCATTTGAGTAACATTATTTACGAAAGACTATCTTGAGAATAAATCTCAATTATAGAGGACCATGGTAATTAAAATTTATTAAGGACTGAATTGGGAAAACACCTTATTACAAAGGACCATTTTGGGAATTTACTCCATTTTAATTATACTAAGAAAAAAAAAGAACCTTTATTTTGGAATGGATCAAGAAAGAAAGCGTATAATTTATTTTATGACGATGTAACACTAAATGCAGTTCAAAATACTTCATGCAGGGGGATCCAAACACTCGTGTTCTAAGTGTCTTAACCGGGATACTATTGCCAATGCAGCTGCAAGTATTAGTCCTGCCGTAGTCAGTTTGTCTGATTCTATGGGTAAGTGTATAAATAAGTATGTCAAATAAAAATAGTCTTTCAGATGAAAATTGATAGTCCATGTGGTGCACCGCAGAGCAATTCGAGTGACACGGGGTTATAGTGACACTACAGTGCCACTGCCTGTTTGGGGATTGGCTACAGGATTTTCTATAGCCAATTGGTGAAGAAGGGAGGGGGGTAGGGGGCAGAGGGCAGGGGGCAAGAGAGAGGTTAGGGGGTAGGAACTGTCAAATTTGCGAACCGTAGGTGCCCCGATTGGAGTTGGTTCCCGAACTGTCCCGATATGACTAAGGGGAATTTAGAAAAATCTACAAAAACGCAATCACAATACTTTTATAAAGCGTGGCAGTAAAAAAACAATGTTTCATATGATATTGGTAATTGAAACATCTTATTTAATAATGTACCATATAAATACCTAAATGAGGATATGATATATCCATTAAGACAGTGACAAAGTTATTAATTAAAAATCACAAGGATTACTACGCATTATAAAAACTAACTATTACGTTCATTGATTATTTTGATGTTTGGCAGGTTTACATGGATGCGGTACTATAATAGACAAAGATGGGACCAACTTAACTTGTGCGAACACGTTGAGATCTTTTCCAGGGTTGAGTATTATTAAACAGAAGGTTATCTCTAATCTAATGTTCTTTTATAGATAACTAACTCTCTTTGGCATGTTTCATCTGTCCTTTTACAACCTAACAAATAATTTTTGCCTAAGTTTGTAGTTTTTTGTACTTGAGTTAGGGGTCTCTAAGAAACATCTCTACTGTCAGGTGGGAAAGTAATTAACCAATCTGCATACCCCTCCCCCCAATTTTATTAAAAAAGATGAGCCCAATTTGCGGTTCTCAAGGACCGTTCCAATCAGGAGCTTGGGAGGAATTTAATTGAGCTTTAATCTTATATCGATCAATAGGAATTGAGATCTGTCTCTGCTACTTTATTTTAAGTAATCATCTTTAAATGCGCATTTTTGTGTTATTTGTGGGGGAAGTTTGGCAAAGCCTGAGAACTCCCAATGACATCTGTTTTGGCTTGTGTGCTTTTACTTATTGTCCCTGTCTCAAATCCTTATTTGTTTTGCTTTTGTAACAATTTCATTTGACCCCTAACTTTTTTGAGAGAGACCCTTACATTCTTCTCATTATTATTTTTTAGTTTTGGTCAATTTGTCCTCACTTTAAGCAATTATAAGTTCTCATTTGATCAAACAAACATTTATTTCAACAGATTGGTGTGACTTTGGAAGACGGTCGAACCTTTGAGGGTAGAGTAGAAATTGCTAATTTAGAGTTGGATGTTGCAATTGTAAAGATAAAATACAAAACACCATTTCCATGTGCAAAACTTGGTACTTCAGCTAAGCTTCGCCCCGGAGATTTAGTGATAACCATTGGTTGTCCCTTGTACCTATGAAACAGTGTTACAGCAGGCATTATAAGGTACTCGGTCTTATACCTAGAATGCCAAAGCAATTTCTTCATATTCTACAATATGTTCTACTTCAAACCTTGTGCTCAAAATTAACTTAATATAATTTGCTTTTCATATATATATATATCGCTTTCTTTTTTTACTAGTATAATGTTTTCACTTAGTTATACCTCTAGTGATGAATATGATGTGAGTCTATTGGCGTGATATTCATTTATTTATCATGAAATTCTTTTTCTTAATTTATACAGTTGTGTCCATCGCAATAGTAATGACCTGGGCATAGGTGGGATGAAGAAAGAGTATACACAAGCTGACTGTGCTACAAATCCGGTAACATCAATTAACAGTACTATTTTCATACTTAGCCCCTTTTGCATGACCTTGTGCACTATGAGTGTTTAACATCACAATTTTAAATCTAAATGATAGTAAACTGAGAAACAATTTATTGGAACCAAAAGAAACTTAAATTGAAGATTTGATTTGCATGCACCCAATGTAGAGTTGTGACAATTTATGATGTTGTTGATTGATAATCACATGTGTGTGTGCAGAGGTCATATGCTTAACATAGTTGTCTAGTGCCTACTAACGTATTTGTCAGGAATCGAACTACGAACTCGAGTGTTAATTCCTTGGCACCCCTTTCTTTGTAGACGTCTAACGCGTCACTGATTCTTTTCATTTAGAATTTCAACTATTTAAATATTTTTTTTTGGCTTTTTCAATTTTTTTAAATTTCAATAGATATTTTAATTTTCAACTCTATAAATTTGTCTAATTTCCAACTCCAATTTATGCACTCTCATCTCAGTGAACTTAGTAGTATTTGATTTTTAAGTTTCAAATTTTCAAGCACTTTTTACTCTCCCTGTCTCAAAATATATTACCCTTTCGATCAACGATTTAAGTAAAAATGATACATATTGTGCAAAAAATGGAGATGAAGGCCAGAACTAGATGTTTCGGGTTTGTTCAATCTGTTTTTTGGTCCGTCTCGTAATTTGTACACAAACAATAATTTTGCGTTTTAAGATGGAATTAACTGCATTTACCTTACCCCATCCACACCAATTTAAAAATTCTAAACCTGATCTAGGTTTAGAGCACCCCATACTAGAATTGACTTAACCCGACCCATATAAATAAGTAAAAATTTTAAAATCTTAAATGAGTTTATGGGAATAATTACGAGTAATATTATTACACTTCTAAGTATTTAGTTTGATAGTTGAAATTTATAATTAAGCTAAAATATGTACTCCATTTGAACTGGAACAACGATCTTAAAAAACGTGAAATTCTGTGTTAGAAAGTAATGTAGAGGAGAAAAAAAAGTTATAAAGGCCATAGTTTTTTCTAAAGATGGAAAATAGAATTTTCTCAGGACAAACAAAAACAGAAATGTTGAACCTTTTTATGAGACGCAGCAGTACGTGTGATACTTAGGCCCTTATAAAAAAGTTGTTTGAGAATACTTATTGTTTTTGAAGTAAAAGAGACTTTCATTCATTAAATCAAATGAGAAACNACCACTCGTTAGTCCTCTCCCCCGCCTCTCTCGCAAGAGCATGAGCAATACAATTCAAGGTTCTAGGAATATAGAAAAACTTCAAAAAATAAAAGAGCTAGCTAAAGATCTACAGTCACCTTCAATGGCACCCAAATACTTATAATTGAAGAATACATATACTTTTTTTGAACCAAAACATGTGAGACGTACAAAAATAAATACTGAGTAATTTTTTCTGTCTTTAAACATTGAATATATATACATGAGTAGACCAGACAAAATAGAACCAGAACCGATTATTTAGAACCGAAACTGAAATGATCCGAAAAATGAAGATCTAATCTATAACCGAAAATCCAAAATGATCTGAAGCGAATTGAAACCGAACTATATAATTCATATCTGAAACTGATTAGATTTGAAACCGATCATATCCGAACTGATTAAACCCAAAACCGATTAGATTCGAAATCGATTAGAACTAAACCCGATAGAATCCGATTAATTTCATTTGATTTTACTCAATTTTTACCAAATCGTATTTAATTGGAGTGTAATGCTATTTGAATTTATCTTTTATCTTTGCATTTATAAACATACAGATATTAGTAGATGTGATAAAAATTTGATATATCAAAACTAAATTTTAAAATCAATTTAATTATATTAATTTTATATCATATATAAATATATTTTTTTCATAATTTGTAGTCTAAATTTGTAGAATATGACTAAAAAAACCAAAAAAGAAAGATTATTTACGGTTGAGATAGCATAATTAGAAAAATATAAAATAATATGAGGTGTTGAATTGATGATAAATTGATAAATGTAATAAAACAAAAAAAAAGAAACATGAATTATTAAATTTTAATTAAAAATAATATATATCTATAATATATTCAATTGAAATATATCTGAACTGAAACATATCAGAAACCGAAATATATCTGAACGGAACTAGATCCGAAACCAAAATATATCCGATCTAATTTCTATTCGAATCGGAGTCTATCCTGATCGATTTAAATCTGAACCATATCTGAATCGACTCGAAACCGAACCAAAACCGAAAATGTATAGATTGAATCAAATCTGAACCGAAATTAAACTGATTGAAACCAAACCAATAACAACATATATTCGAACGATATCCGAACTGAAAGAATTCAATTCAAAACCGATCCAGTTGACCCGATTGCCACCTCTATACATGAGCATTAAAAACGTAAAAGTCTACGAAATAAAACCTTTCAATTTCTTAAATTCGAATTAGAACAAGTTCCAAATGAATCTAGATCTAGTGATACAAATGATAAATCCAAGGGGTCTTGGACATTTCTCGACCCATTTCAAATTTAGTGGTTTATATTTTCTTTCAGAAAAAAAAGCCTAGATGGAACTCATGGAAATGAACAGTGTAAAAGTTAACAAACGTATCAAAATTCAAAATGTAAATATAGTGATCAATCCAAGTTTCTTTTCTACCCCAAACAATCATGTACACAACAAGATTTTGGGTACCAGATTTAGTCAAGCCAAAAGCCTATGACTTTTATGGACACTAACATGATATTCTCTCAATGTCACTTAATATTACTATTCACATACCAAAGAGTGCAATATTAATTTTTTTGTCCCAATTTAAATTATTTCTTCACAATTGAAACGATCAAACTTTAACTACTTTCTTTATTCATTTTCGTTACCCGTATACTAAAATAAGACAGTTATGTCAACTATTATTTTGAAGAACTTTTTATGTAATTTCTAAATCCAGATCATATAAACTTCAATTTTTAATTCCAGACCAATTGTCGAGTCAACTTAAATTAAGACGAGGAGAGTAATACAAAAAGTGCATCTAATAATTACCTAGAGCATGTGCAATGGCAAGTAAAAGGGATGCCTTGCACTCATATCATGGTATGGCAAAACCAAAATACCTTGCTTGGTGAGGCATGAGTGTGGCACTTCATCCTTCTTTTTTAATTTTTTTAGGAAAAATTATCCAAAATAATCCTAACTTTACCAGGTCTTTCAAAAATAATCTCACCTTTCACTGTGATGCATAATAATCCCAACTTTACTGAAATTTGTCAGTTTTGGGTCGCCGTTAAGTTTCTAACGGAGCGTTAACGGAAATGCCTGTTTTAGGCAACAAAATGAAAGTTGGGATTATTTTTTATGAATTTTTGTTTTTTAATTTTTTTTGAAATTTTTATTTAATTTTTTTGAATTACTTTCAACCTCCATTTCTTTTTCTTTTTTAAAGATTATTCTTACCTTAGAAAAAAATAGATATAAAAAATAATGAAAATGAGAAAAATAACTAAAACCATACAAAATTAATCAAATAAATAATGTAATCAATAGAAATTAAACAGAAACTAGTAAGAAATAAAATAAATATATACGGAGTGGTGGGTTTTAACATATTACACACTATACAGAGTCTTAATGTACTACTTATTTTTTATAAGAACAAGCCGTCCGGTAAAGTTAGAATTATTGTAGATAATTTTTTCTAAAAAATAAGAAGTGATATGTTAATACTTTGTATAATGCGTAAAATATTAAAACCCACCCGTATATTTTTATTTTACTTTTACCAATTTCAAATTAGTTTCCATTGATTACCTTATTTATTTTATTATTTTTGTATCATTTTAGTTACATTTCTCATTTTTTCATTTTTTATATCTATTATTTTTATTTTTTAAACTAAGACTAATCTTTAAAAAAGGAAAAAGAAATGATGATGGAGGTAGAAAGTAATTTAAAAATTTAAATGAAAAATTTTAAAAAAAAATAAATGAAAATTCATCAAAAATAATCCCAACTTTCATATTGAGGCATTTCAGTTAACCCTCCGTTAGAAACTTAACGGCGACCCAAAACTGACAAATTTCAGTAAAGTTGGGATTATTATGCATCACAATGAAAGGTGGGATTGAAAGACCGGGTAAAGTTGAGATTATTTTGGATAATTTTTCCTTTTTTTTTAAATAATTTTTTTAAAAATTTTTTATGAAAAAAATGTACAAGAAAGTAGAATAATTTTTTAATAAAATAAATAATAAAAATATTTTTTTTATGTTTAAAAAACATAAAAAAATATAAAAAAGTGATAAAAAATAACGACTTGCCATTGTTAGACTTGCCACTCCATTCACTTGCCACACACTGACTGGACTATTTTTTATGGGTTAAAATGTTCCATGTCACCGTGTGACATTCTATTTTCGCCTTGCCATTGTTGATGTTATAGATTCAAGGAACTAGGTGATTGTTTATATGCTAGTAGAAACCAAAGTTCGAAAAGCCAAACTTATGAGCTTCATTTATAATGGTTTTCTTCATTCACACAGTAGATGTCATTATATGAAATGAGAGTGTGTGTATTCTATCCTGTACAGGGCAATTCTGGGGGGGGGGGCACTTGTGAATCTTGATGGAGAAGTTATTGGTGTCAATGCTATTAAAACATTCAATGCTGATAGTTTGGGATTTTACGTGCCGATAGATTCTGCTTCGAAGATTATAACTGAGCACTTGGCATGAAATCGAATAACACAGGATTACATTATGCACATATATTTTATGTATATACAGACTAGAAATGCATTGGGGGGGGGGGGGTATTTGTGTGACTAACTGCCAGGCACACATGTTATAGTTTGTTCACGATGTAACGAAAAGACAAGACTAGAAATTGTACATAGGTAGATAGATCATACACAAGTTTTACTAGTTAGAAGCTGTCCTCGGGCTTCAAGAAATTATGGTGTTCCAAAAGGCTCATCTCCCCGCCTTCGCTTGGATTGAATTGGCATCTATAGAAACTGCAAATTCATGGGAACAAATGTCATGCATTGCAAGTTTGCCGAGGAAGCTCTTAGGAAACACTCATATTGTTCATTCTATGTTAATAGTACTGTCATTATTATTATTATTATTATTATTATTATTATTATTATTATTATTACTATTATTACTATTATTATTACTATTATCATCATCATTATTGTTGTTGTTTTTGTTGTTATTTATATTTAATATGAATAGGAACATGGGCCTCTACCGTCAAGGTGCTTTGCTTAAACCCCACTCTTGTCCAATTTCACTAACCACAACAGAGTATTTGATCTTGGGAATGTGACACTTTTGGTACTTGACCTCTTAGCATCATGTCTTACTACATATGAGAACAGAGTATCTTGAAAGTTTACAGGAGGGATCAGATTACAGCTTGATTTATTGATAGTTCGAATATCATAAAATAGAACCAAAACGACCACATTGAAGAACGTTGGATAAGTGAAGGGACAAAAAGTGCACTTTTATTTTGATCTTTAAAGTTAAAAACCTAAGACTTTTTACATTTATTGCTGCAAGAACAGAGAGGTATGCAAAAAGGAAAGTGGATCACGCAATATATTTACCATATAAAGTATGTTGTTCTTGTTTCATAAATAAAAACTAAACTCCAACCATCCCTAAGAAAAATCCATACTCAAAAACTTATTTTTTGTCCCAAAGAAAGGGTACTATTTGAACAAAATAGGCCTAGGTCTCCTAAAACCCCAGTTAGGCCACCAGTGTTGGGGTTGGCCCAGCACCCTAGAGGTCACAATGATGACATATCTAGGTTTATTAGCTTGTATAGATAGGGGATTTGTAAAAATATGCAACAATTCTGAAACTGTAATCAAAGGTTTTACTCTTCCATTGCTTCATCTCCTTATTCCAATACTACCCCCCGGATCCAGGATCAGTCACTATTTTATTTTATTTTTTGAACAGATTTTTTTAAATCCATCATGCATCACTTAATAATATTTAAAAGATGGACATTTGTGAAACCAGACTCTTTTTTATGGGATGTAAAGAGTATTTGTATATGGCTTCGCGCGAGAATGTATATAAGCATACCTGCCATCCATGCCTAGTATGACAATCGTATTCTTTTGGTGTCCGAAGGCAACAATATGTTGCAAACCTTCTTGCAAGCGGAATTGGGCCACAGACCACTCAGAGCTGAAATATTTTGGTAGCACTCCTGCATTAAATATTTTGATGAAACACTTGAGTATAAGACATTAAAGGAATGAACGTTATTTAACTTTTTAAGGTCAAACACGTTTTACTAACAGTATTAATTATGTGGCATTACTTGGGAGTTGGGACAATAAACTAAACAAAATAACATAATCCATAAACATGTCACTCATAAAAATGTCAATCAGTAGAGCCTAA